AACTTAACGAGTGCCCACCCAACAATTTCGCAAATACTATAAAAGAATTGTTTCTGACAGAAAAATAAAAGGCTGGAATTATAAGGGAGAGTTTCAAAGTTTGGAGGAATACTATCCAATCAGTATATACCAGGTTGAGCATCAATGTCGATGTCTCCTGCACTCTGAAAAGTTTAAAATTGTTGCCCGAAGCCAAGGGAAGACCAATCAGTATTCATTATTTTATGTCTCTTCTTCTTGTTTTTGTTCTGTGAGGTGTCTGTTGTCTGAACATAAAAATCTTTTGCAAAAGTGTTCGTTATCCAATTTGTTCGTTAACTGATCACCCACTGTATTTATAATTACTGGGGGCCAAAGCACTTCTGGCTGCTGTAGGCAGCCCAACTCCTTGCTTGCAAGCTCCATGTGCTTTGCCCACTTGTTCCCAATATAGACTATTCATGATAAAAATTTTGTGATTTATTGATTTTCAGTTTTTCCATTTCTATTTTTTTAATAACAGTAAAAAGTGTCATGACAATTTCTATATATACTAGACATGCATAATATTAATATAAAGTAAAGTAGTAAAAAAAAAAATAATAAATACTTACTGTAAATTTTTGTAGATAGCCTGTGGGCTGTCTCTGTTTAAGAGTCAGTTTCTGTTATGTAATGGAGTAGGTTATATTCAGATTTTAAATTACAATTATGAACTCAATAAATAGCTTTTACTTTGTCTAAAGTCAATAAGCACATCTTTAGAAAACATGAAAAATCTTTTGTGCAGTGTAAATTATTCATTTGCTATTATGATTTTTACCAAAGCCATCAAAGACACATATATGCATATCTCACTTTCAGTTCTCACCTGTTCATTTTCTATACCTTCAATCCATGCTATGTGATATCCAAATTCTTACTTTAAAGCTAATAAATTTTCAGTAATTTTTCCTATTCTTAATATGATGTGTTAATTGTCATTCTAATAAGCTATAAATTCATTGCTATAAAGTAAATTTTGAATGACTAAAAATAATTATACTTACAGATAACCCCGTATAACACGGTAGTTACGTTCCAAAAAATTGCCGTGTTATGCGAATCAAAGAACTAGTACGAAAAGGAGGGTTAGGTTCCAAAAATTAAAAAACATGCTACTATATTTTCATAATTAAGTGAAATATCTTTATTAAAATTTTCATAAGTGATACATATTAATATAAATTAAACAATGTTTTCTTTGTCATCACTAAAAGCACTATTAACTGAGAGCGTTTTATTTTTGGCAAGTTATCATTATCCTCTGAGCATTTTTCTGCATTATTTTCAGATTCATGCTTTACCTTTTGCAAAAAGTGTATGTAATTTTAGATTGCTTGCTTCTAGTTAAAAGATCTTTATAAATTTCCTTATATGGTGCTAAGCACTTATGGAATAAGGGAAAAACATCTGGCAACACCAGAAGCAGAAGTGTCAAGATGTGGCAAAATTGAAACAATTTTCGCGAAGGACCATGTGTATGGAGAAGAGAAAAGAAAATTTACACACTGAAGTACTAATAGTTCACGAAAATAATTTTCGTGAACTATTAGTACTTAAGTATGTAAAAATTTATTACATTTTATGTTGTACGAGGGTTTTACCCATTTCTCGAACCGTGTCAGAGTGAATCCGTGCTATAGAAGTGCCATGTTATACGGGGATGACTAAAAATAATTATACTTATTTTAAATGATAACTCTAGCTTGACTGTGCAATGTTTTGATTTGTTTACATACAACAGTATTACTCTCTGCTATTTTACTAATTAAATCAAAATTAAAGATGATGCCATTACAATTTTCATTTATTTGCTTGATTTTTTAAATTCTGTAAGAATAGTGTAGAAATTTATTTTATATTAAAGCAATATTTTAATTAGAGTGACATTTTTGTATAGAATTAAAATATTATTGAATACTTTTTAGTTAGAAAACAATACTCTCCTATTTACACTCAGATTCTTTAACATTATAAAGTCAACACACCTTACTACTGAGAAAGCACATTTATTAAGCTAAACAAACGTTTTCAACCCATTTCATGGGCCATCCTCAGGTTAACGACGTTCGAATGAATGGCTTTTCGAACACGTTCAAATTTAAATTCAGAATTTAAATTTAAACGTGTTCGATAAACCATTCATTCAAACGTTGTTAACCTGAGGATGGCCTATGAAATGGGTTGAAAACGTTTGTTTAGCTTAATAAATGTGATTTCTCAGTAGTAAGGTGTGTTGACTTTATAGAAAACAATAGCAATGTTTCATAAACAATCTCTGGCTCCTATTGGACAACCTAACCTTTACAGTTCATCAAGACTATATCACATAAGGAAGCAGTTTTTTTGCAGGAGTTGGCTGCCAAAGGACAACATATTTTTATCATATTGCTTCATTCCTGCTTTATTTGTCAAATTGTAATAATAATATAGTAATAAATATCAAAATAAACTCAAAAAAATTAAGTAGAAAATAATTTTGTCTTAAACTTATGAGTCTTATTATATTAAGTTATGAGCTAAGCTAGGTATTATTTTATTATAATTGAGTTGAGTGAGTGAAGCTCATTTCTTTACACTCAAATGTCATTGAATTTAAGTACACTCCTTTGAAACTCCTTGACCAAATTTTGTGTAGAAGTCATATTCAGGTGAGCAAATGTCTCAAGCTATTGAGAATCTTGATCAGATCATTTCTTTCAGGAATACCATGGAAGAACTCTGCCAAAGATCAAAGTTGGGATTTTGGTACTTTCAAAGTGTGTGCAGCAGTTCAGTTTGTTTACAAGTGTAAACAAACATGTTACTTAGTTTTTGCTGACTATTCCTTGAGTTTTAAAACAATTTAACATGACAATTGAATTTAAACACCAGCTTAATAACTTTGTATTTGTTTGTATATTCATAAATATAACTGGCTGGCAACATTGAACAAGCCCAAAAACTATTACATATGAACTGAATTAAGTCATTCTGAAGCAAAGTTTGAAAGGAATTAGGTTTCCAAAATTAGCCACTAAATCAGATGATATTGCTTCTATTGTGAAACACACTAAATAAAATCTAGATTTAAGCCTCAGTCTTATTCAGGTCAATTTGCAGACATTGAAAACAATGAATGTTATCCAGGTTTATATTATAATAAAATAAGACTCTTAGGAATTGTTTTATTTGTGGATGGATAACAAACATCTAAAGTCAGTCATACATTTGGTTTTAGTTTCTGCCATTAACCAGGAACTCTCTCCCCATGTAATTATTTCTTGATCTTCTTGTAATCACTTTGGCTTTGTCTAGGAGTCAACATTATTAAAAGAAGAATAGTGAGCATTGTCAATTACATTGAAATAATTAGTTACTGGCTAAAACACCAAAACTCCACGACTCCGACTTCACATCCCTGGTAATTACACTAATAAGTGTAGAGTAAAAATTAACAAGTTCTGAACAAATACTAATTATTTCAAACAATAAAAGCAAAGAAAACAATTAACAGCCATTAACTGATAAGAAATACTCTTAACTTAAATCTAATTATCCACCTCTAATACACAATTCTGTAATATCAAATTTACAAGGGCAATGCCTATTCATCACAATCAGAATGCTTTTTATGTCTATTCATAATCTCCACTGGAAATTATATCTTGGCTCTTCTTTTGAAGTCATTTATGCACATTTCCTATTGTCATTGCATGCTCATCTACATATTTATTTACTAACAATTATTTTACAATTTCTAATACATACAATTTTCCCATATAATATTTTATAAAATATTACTAATATTATGTTGATTAAATTACCCTATGATATAATGATTTAATGACCATTTTTAATTCATCAAATCTTAGATGACATTTTCAAATGGCATCTAAGCAACTTACTATCTACAATAAGCAATCTACTGACTAAACAACAACAGGCATGGGATAAAGCTATGAGTTTTTTTTTCCTCCTAAAAAAATCTGATAGCTTTATCCCATTTTGAATGGAAGGTACTGGTTTTTACTCTTTTAATGAAACAAATACCCCAAAATAAGTCTTAAAAAAAAAATGCAAATAAAATATAACAACTCTAGAAAATAAAATAGTATTTTCAGCTCATTTCTCACAGTATGATATTTGCAATGATGCATAAATATTTTGAATTAGTGATATCTTACAATATAATATTTTTTCTTATTAATATGGATTTAATTTTTACTTTTCTAGCTGTTATATGTATGGCGATTAGTCAAAAAATGACCTCCCAAGATTTTTGCATTTTTAGACTTAGGACACCTTGGAACATTGAGAAATGCAAAAAAAAAATGACGTTTTTTTTCTGTTTGTGTGTGTGTGTGGGGGGGCCACAATTTTATTCACCCTCTTTGAAGCTTGGATAAATAGCACAGGAGTTATCCTGTGCTATTTATCCAAAATTTCTGAAATTTTGCTGGGTGGTTTGTTCTTTAGGGGATTGATATTATTAAATTTTGATGGTTAAAGGTTGAGGGGGTGGGAAGATAATGGAGGTCATGTGTATCCCGAGTAGGGTCAGACTTAATAACAATTTTACTCATTATTAACATTTATAATTTTTTATAAAACCCATCCCTACCCTCAAAATTAAGCTTTTTGCCATTTTATAATAGTTAAAAATATAAAAAGTTTTTAAAATAAAATATAATGACAGATAGTGCCACTGAAATTTTAAATGTTGCTGGGATAGTTGAGCAACTCTATTGGTTTGTTAAAATATAATTTTTCACACTATAAAAATGTCAGTGATTTATTCTTATTATAAATTTTAATAAATTCTTATTTGATATTTTCATATTTATACTTTAAAAAATAATTTCATTTTTCATAATTTGAAATGTTACAGCTTATTTTTGTCTTAATAAATTTTCAGTATGAAATTTCTAATACTATTCCAGTTTCCTTAAACTGTTAATTTAATAATAATTGGGTGTTTTTTTGTATATATATTTTAGAAAGAATGGCTAAACCTATCAGCAAAGATAAAACTTTGCAGGAAAAATTTAAACAGTTTTTTGGCTTCAATAAAGGTGCATCTCAACAACCTGAACATTTTCCAAAAATTGAAAAAATTGTTTTAGATCATGAAATATTAAAAGTAAGTCAAATTAATACTTTTACTAAAATTAAATATCAATAATTTAATATTTTTTTTACTTAAATAACTTTATTCTAATATTATTATTATTATTATTATGATATATTACATTGAATGTAAGACACACTATCTAAATATATAAAATTATTTGTCCTGACTGACTGATTGATTCATCATTGCCCAGAGCAAACTGCTGAAGCTAGAGAGACAAAATTTGGTACACAGTTAGGGTAAGTCATGAAAACACACACTAAGAAGGGATTTTTCTAAAAGATTATGGCTTAATCTGAAGAACGGCTTTTACTGTATTATTTTATAAGTGATTTTTTGTTTTCAACTACATTTAGTCTTTATTGAGTACTTAGGTGTATTAAATTGATAACATTTCAGACATATATAAATATGATATATAAATATTTTTATATATATTTATTAAAAAGTCGAAATATTTTTATATATTTCGACTTTTTAATCAAATGTTCAAACCGTTTTAAATTCAAATTTGTTATTGCTTATTAGTTTGATTATAGAACAATTGAAAACATTCCAGAAAATTGATCAAATTGAAAACAGTTCGTTTGATTCTCAGCAATTCTCATTTTCTCACGGTAGGTGTTATGTAACAATTACTATGGTTGTTGAAATACTGAATATAAATGGTGTTTGCTTAATCTGCTTGGGCAAAGTCAAGGGTAACAGCTAGTGTTTTCATAGATTCTAAAAACTGAAAAAAGAGTGCTTTAGATTTGAATAAATACATTATGTAGATAGATTATTGGGAAACATAATGAAATAAGATTTAAGCTGTTTTAGATGAATTATTTTTATTTTCAATAAATGTTCTAACAGGACAAATCTGCCACATAATGTATGTCTTGCATCAAAGTATCTAAAAGAAAAGGCCGGCAACTAATGTTCTGATCAGGGGATGATCAATGATATCAGATCTCTTGTTTGGATTTTTCAGTTTTCTTTTATAAGAAAATATTTATGCTAGATTTTCTACAATATTAGAAATTCTTCATTACTAGATTAAATATGTAATGCAAAACATCACTTTGTAATGTTAACTAATTTTATGGATGAGTATATCCAAAGGATTATATTCTGTAGAAATGTAAATTGAAACTGCTTATAACATATCTTTAAATACTTCTAATAATTAGTTATTTTAAATAATAGAAAAACTACACAACAAATTAGACTGGAAAGTAATACAGTAGAGCGTCGTTTATCCGAAATGTCAATTATCCGAAAGAATTCCAATTGGCAAATTTAAATTTTCACCAGTGCTGTGGCGCGGCAATCTTTGGCTATGTCTTGAGCTACTTAAATATTTTACGTTTTTGATACTAAATTAACTTCTGAAGTATAATTTTTTATTGTTTTTATATTTTTCAATATATTTATTTTGTTTGTACAAAATAAAAAAATAATTTTTAATGATACAATAGTCTTCGTTAGGCTTAACATCGACGAAAATTCAACACGAAGCGACATGCAACGGAGAAAAATTTCAACATGGGATAGGTTATTTTTTCGTACATAATTGGTTATCTGAAATATCGATTTTCCGAACAACCCCAGTCCCCAATTGATTCGGATAAACAATGCTCTACTGTACTAAGAAAAACTTCATTTAAATTGGAGCCTTCCTTTTGTTTCCAGTACTGTTTAATGATGATCAAATGTTTAAAGACAAATGTTTTCAATCTATATGAGATCTCCTAAGTATTTTATATATTTTTTATTTGAAATACATTTAACATTTCAAAATGCATTCCATTTTACATAGATCTGAAGAAGCTCTTGTATACATCAAAAATGTTTGTCTTTAAACATTTGATTATCATTTAACAGTACTGGAAACAAAAAAAAAGCTCTATGTTGAATGCAGTTTGTATTTTAAATAATAAAAATAATTATGCTTTATATGATTTTCATCAAAATAAAGCTGAAATTTTATTAATCCTAATTGGTTTTTGTTTTATCTGTAAAAATCTTTAATGAAGAATTTTGTTTATGTCTTAAACATGCTTTTGTTTTAATTGGTATATTCCTTGATTCTTTAGTTATAATCATTGTTATCATATTTGGAATAGTCCAATGAGAAAATATCAAATTTAAATTGTACATTTAGTATATCAATGAAGCTAGAATTTAAAAAAAAAAAAAATGGGTGGTGTAAAAATATACAAAAATGTTTCATTTGAAATTTAAAAAGTTACCCTACTTATGGTTAAACTGGAAATGAAATTTTGTATAAATTTTAACATATTTTTATATAGTTTGTTCATACAAAATATTATTGCATTTGTAGAATTGAAATGATATTTCATAGCAAAACAGTTTTTTAGTTTACATCTGATTTGTAACACTTGATATATTTATATATCTGTTATATAATGGTAATATGATTCCAAATTCAAATAACTTCAGGAACAATTTGATTCAAAATACTTTAATAAATGTAATTAATATCATATTCATTTATTCAAGTTTTCAGTACAGTGGTACTTCATACTTCAAATGATTCTAACTTCAAATGCTTCAGTTTGAACACTAAATTTCACAAAAATTTGCTTTGGAGTTTAAACGATGCTTCGAACTGTGCACACAGTGAAAAAAATATGTTGTAACCATAAAATAAGTTTCTAAACAAAGAATACAATTTCAAGTTAGCAATAATGTGTTAACTTTTACTGTTAAAAATATACAAAAATTATTTTCAACCCAATATTACTTTTACTTATTAACCATGGCACCCAAGAAATGTGTAGAATCAACAAAGTGTAGAAGGAAGGTTGTAATATCAATATGATTTAGATGAAAAAGAAATCTTATCATGAAACATGAAAGCAGTATGCATACATTTAGTGGAAATTTTCATTTTATTATACAGTATTTAGAAATTATATTTATTGTTTTGTGTTCTAATTAATTATTAGGACATTTAATTGTGTTATTTTTGCCTTAAATTAGATGAATTAGCTGTTTTAAGTTTATTGAAATAGATATTATTAAGGGTCTGGGAATGGATTAATTTTTTCCATTATTTTTAATGAGAAAAATTGCTTTGGACTTTGAACAGTTAGGAGTTCATACAGCCTGCTGAAATGAATTAAATTTAAAATATGAGGCACCGCTGTAACTAGTTATATTTCTTCTTACTTTTGTTTCAAAAAATAGTTGTAATAAATAATTGTAATCTAGTTAATACAAATAATATGATGATAACAATATTAATAAAATATACAAATTAATATAGTAAAATTAACATTTTTATTTATGTTTCCATTGATGATTAAAAATTATTTGTGCATAAGTATTTAGCTAATTTTTTACTTTTTTAATATTAGGAAATTGAAAGGGACAGTCCTCTTTCTCAAAGAGTGAAAACTATAAAAGAATTACAAAATATAATTCAAAATAAGCATCTTCATGAAGTAAGTATAAATTAAATTTATTTTATAATAAATATACTTTATAATAAATTTCCTTCAAGTAAATTTTTATTTAGCAAAATTTCAGACTAACAAAAATCCTTAAGAATGCTATTTGCATTCAATTTAATAGTAGAATATTTTGTTACTGAGGCTAACTTTTATTTCAAAAATTTATTTGGAATGATGCACAATAAAATGAAATAAGGCTTTTAATGAAAATTAACATTTATGAATATTGATAGTTTTCTATTTTATTAACAAAATATATAATTTTTGATAGGGATCCGTTGAAGCATTATGTTCGCGTACTTTAGATATGCAACATTCATCACAGCCTACAGAAGTCAGACATACTATTTTATATTTCTACTGCAACATGATAAAAAGTCAGGTAAAAACTTTAAATTGCATTAGAAATACACATATTAATTTATTTGCTGTTTGATCAGTTATTTCTATAGATAAAAATAGTGTTAAATTTTAAAAATTATAGGTAATTTATTGGTAAACTAATAATATTTTACAAATTTACTATTTTAACAGTAAAATGTTGGTAAATTTGCAACCTCTAGTTTTTCATTCGGTCATAAACATAGATATTATGTTAGATGAGAATTCGTAACAAAACTGTCAATTCTGATTAATACATTAATAATATGAAATCATTGAAATTTGTATTTCAAGTATTTTCATATATCTATACATTTATATGAATATGAATTTATAAGACCGCATTGTCATTTGATATTAAATTTTTCAAGAAATTGTTTAAATATTTTTGAAGTACAGTAGTCTCTCTATAGTGTCACTCGCCAGCTTGAAACATTCAGTAATCTGACATCCATCAGCCCAATATACAGTATATCAGATAACAGAGATTCTACTATTTTAAATGTTTAGTAAAAAGATTTAGAATCTTTAAAGTCAATAGAAGTTCAGATGTATTTGAGTCATTAATAAGCATTTAAACTTCAATTCACTTCAGCATAAAGAAAATATTTTAAATATATCCTATATAATATAACTTTTAATATATAGATTTTTAAAATTACAGCTTTGTCATGTATNATAATTTATTTATAATTTCATTCGTTATTTTATTGTTGAAGTTTAGTAATATATTTGGAGTTTTTTAAAATTTTGTTGTAAAAACTGTTATATATGATTAATGAATCTTAATTGTTTTACAGTTTAATCAGCTTACTACTATGAGAGATTATTTTTTTCGTTTAATAAAAGATCACAAAATCCCAGATGATCTTCTGCCAAGGTTTGTTTTTAATACTGTATATATTTTATATTCATGGAAATGTTAATTTCAATAATATGCTTTTTAACAATGATTTTGATATCCTCATATCTACTTTTTACTTATGTTTAAATATTGTGACATACCATGCTTATGGTATTTTAATCATAAAACTAATAAAGAGCATTGATGATTAAAATTCAAAACATTGTATCTCTATATTAGAAGTATGTTTTGTTATAATATATCATATTTGTTCTTAAATGGAAAATTACAAATTGTTTAACAATTATTTAAAGTTTTATGCAAAAATTATTTTTAAAAAGTTCTAGTTCTTTACAGTTAATTTTCAAAATATTAAAAAAAACTTTTTTAAACTTTTTGATAGCTGATGTGTAAAATCAATTTTAAATATTAATTTTATTAAAATTAATGTATAAAATTGGATTTTAAATACAATGTGCAATTACTGTATTTATTGTGACATCATCGCAATGCCAGGCTGCAATTTTTAATCATATTTTTAATTAGTGAAAATATTTAGATTGATTGACCAGTTCAAATGAGCATAGAGAGAATACTTCACAAGTTAGATAGTTACAATATTGAATAAAATGGCTTTATAGTAAAGTATCAGCATGCTATCATATGATCTGGATTCAAATCTCATCTAGATTTTATAATTTATTATGTATAATACAGGTTAGGCATTGTTTTCTATCCATCATCTATACTGATTGATTGTATTATGAGCCAGATTGCTCATAATGGATGAACTATCTGTGGAATAACAAAGTATGGTTAATCATTAATATGTTGATATCTTGTGTACAAAATTAATTAATATAAAACTTAGCATTTTATGAATAATGATGCAATTTTCTAATTATATGGTCTTTTAAATTCTGCATATTTTTATACTTTATAAATTTTAAAATTTATTACAGCATTTTATTAGTATGAATGTAATACCTTAATAATAAATTGAAGAAGATAAAAATAAGCATTCAAAACATCTGCAATACTGTATTAAAATGTCTATTTCAGAATATAAACATAAAAGTAGTAAAGTATTAAAACAGTTTTCAGTAATTTATTAAAAATTATAAAGCATAAAAATATAAAAATATTTCTACGTATGTCTAGTTTAAAAAATTCTAATATTGCATTACTTTGTTGTAGTTGCCATAACTGTTAAATTTAAATATTGAAATGTAATTTTAATGTTGTTAAAATATTAAAATGTATGTATTAGCTACATCTTATTTTTCAATAACTGTTAAGTTTTTACCAAAATTAAGTACTACTAAAAGTAAGAATTAAAATTGATACAGAATTTAAATATATTTTATATTATTTTATTGTATTTTTCATCAAAAAGTATTCATTGTTTGATTAGGATAGAAATGTTGAAAGCACTTAGTGATAATGGAAAACAAATTGAATACTTTGAAGAAGATGCAGGTAATTACTGAATAAATAAATTGTTTAATTTATTTGAATTATATCCTAAAATATTAATTGCCATATTAATTTGAAGGTAACTTTATTGATGATTAAGTTATCATTAAAAAGAAAAGAAATTTAGAATAAAAATTTTAGATTTTATTTAGTATATGAATTTATCATATTTATCAACTACNAAATATCAATTGTGATTTTATTATACAGTATTTCAAAAAATGAATGACTTTGGAGAAGTTTTTCAATCATGCAAAAAAAAATCTGTAAATGTTCCATGTTTCAATACTTAATTTAACACACACTTTAATTTCATAAACATTTTTTGTTGATTTGCTATTTTGGAATTATTGATATTACTCTTTAGGTGTTTGTGTTGAAATGTTTGAAATATATTCAATAAAGGTTGATTGAAATTCTGGGATTCTTGAATAATCATGTTACAAAATCAGTTTACTGAATTACATTGACACAAACACCTAATTTTGTTTTTTAAATTTATTTACTTATAAAAATTGTTGATTATCTCTGTACAATGTTGATATTTTTATACTTTTATCAAAGTACTAATTATATATTATGAGGATTAGTCAAAACATTGAGTCTTTTCTGTTGAAAATGTAGCACTAACAAATTACTATAAAGAATAGTTATTGATGCATCTGTCTAAACCTGTGTGGGAATAAGATTGTTTGTTTGGAGCATACAGAGCAGATGTCATCTATTGCCCATCTAGAACAAAATGGAGGTTGATTGTGATGTCATGCTTAAATTATGTTTTTTCTTGTGAAAAAAAATCTATGGAAGCTTTTGAAATATTGAAACAGGCCTGTGGTAAAGAATCACTTTTATGATCCATCCTATTATGGATCATAAAAGATTATAACTATTTCAATGATTTAAAGCATTCTCTGAAGGTTAAGAATCAATCTTAAGCAGACAGGTCTGCAGAGTCCTATGAGTATGTTGGACAAGAAAAATATCTCATGCCTCTCTCATAATATAGCTCAGCTTTCTGTACTTTGTTATTTTTCCCTAAATTCAGCACTGAAGTCAAAGTTGAGGTAATCTATTTCCTGTCTACAACAACAGTGGCTAAAGCATCAGAGGTGATTCTGAAGACCATTTCAAAAGATGGGCTTTTATAAGTCTTAAACTGGCAGAAGTGCATTGAATTCCATGGTGAATGCTTCAAAAAAAGGACACAGTCACTAGAGATGTTAGAGTTATTCTAGAACGAGGTAGAAATTTTGACTACAAGAAATAGTATAAAAGTTTGTCCCTATTTACAAGATTTTGATGTATAAAAATTTTTGAGAATGAGGTAAGTTTGTAAATCAGATTACAGTGCAATCTGATATACAAAACCTATCTCATTCCTGAATAATCCAGAAAATGTTTTAAGTATTGAAAATTATTATTTAAAAAAATAAATACAATATATTTTTTGAATATTTTACCAAAATTATCACATACTATAATTATTTAGATTTTTTTTTATGATTGATAAATATACTAGTTCTGTGAATATATCATCAATAAAAATACTATAGACTTATTTATACATTACTATTTTATTTAAAATTGTTTAAGTTTAGTGTGAAAATTTGTACAGGAAAGTTATTCTGATTTTTTATTTTAAATATATAAAATTTTCAGGGCCTTTCTTGTTGGAATGGATGCCTGAAATAATTAGTGGAAACAGAGTTCAGGAATTTCTTCCACTTTTAGTAAATATGATTAAATGTAATGCTGCTTATTTAGATGAAGATATTATTGCTGGAATAGTAAAGTAAGTATTAAATTTTATAAGTTTTTAAACAATTACATCTTAACTACAGCATGCTAAACAAAATAAATGTACTGAACAAATCACAAAAATCCTAAGTTCTGTCCAATAACATAAAATGAAAGAATTATGAATGTTTTCAACCTCCTGAGATCTGCTTCAGGTTTAAAGCTAATCATTCTATAATAAAGCATTTCAAAATAAATATATTTCTTGTTTTGAAATAATCTTTAACAATAAGTTAAAAGATCATAAAAATGAATATATGATTAGAATTAGTTTATGATGAAACACAACAACAACATTTTCAATGGATATATAATAAATGGATACATAATATAATAAAGGTATAGTAAAAATGTTTTTCTTTTTTTTTTGGTTAAAATTGAGAAAGGTGTTGTTTTTGTTTGAAAAAGTTGCTTAATTTGAACAATAGCAAAATTTTTCTATTTAAATGTTTATGGCAATTCTTTTTGATTTTCTGCTTCATTTGTAAAAAGGTAAACAGAATATAATTCATATTGGTATCCTCAAACGTAACAATTTGATATATACCTGTGCTAATATATTTTTTTAAATTCAAAATATTTATCATAGATGAATATTTTGAATTTAAATGAAGATGAATCATTAACTTAAATCATGAGTGAAAATGCTGCTGTTACTGAAATTAATTTATTGCATCATTTTATGCTATTTGGTAATAAAAACTTATGGTTTATCAAAAATTTTCATTTTCATAAATTACAGTTCTCGTTTTACAGAGATAATTTTTTAAATTCTCTCACATAAAAAACTTCAATTATAGATAACACTTAAGTGAAATTACAAAGATTTGTGTTTTACTCAGTAATTTTGAAAATTGCTTTGAAAACATATTTTTTGTTCAAATGTCTTTATTATTATATATTTAGTCAATGAGATTGGTTTCATTTATTTATTGTTCATTATGATGTATTAATAGTTAGGCATTGTAGAATAATAATATGAGACAAATCTGTATATTTTTGATATTGTTAGAAAATTTGGAGTTTATAAAATTAAAAAGTTTCTGTTTAAATTGTTTTTGTTTACAGAATTTACAATATAATATTAAACATAGTGTCTATGTACTGGTATATACATACACACATACACAAATTTCCTCAAAGTTTAAGGATATTTATTTTGAAACATCTCACATTAAACACAGAATTTTAAATCTGGTTTGATTCTGTAATTTTCACTAGTTTTAGAACTATGATTTAAGTTTTACATATAAATAAAAGTTTATTATACTTGTTGATAAACACAATTTTCAATAAATTTCATGTAAATGTATTTTATTACAGCTATACATGTACTCTTTGTGAAAGAACGAACAGTGAAGATGATGTTCAGGTAAAACTTAAAATACTAATAATGTTGTAAATTCATTCAGTCTCATGTGTATTATTTTTTTAGCTCTGTCTTCAAGTACTGGATGCAGTAATTTGTTATAGTTATCCACCATCAAATATTATTCCCTCTGTTATAACAACACTTAGTAGAACAGTGAATTTAGAAAAATTTTGCCAAGTCAGTTGGAAGGTATTAGAAATTTTATTTTAATTAATTTTCTGTTTTCTGTATCAAATTTACATAATATATCAGATTTCAAAATTATACATAATGATAAAGTTTTAAATAAAAATTTAGTTTTAGTATTTATAACTTAGATGTTTGATAAATTGTTTTTATAAACTGCTTATATTTTACTTTGGTTACAATATATTTTTATTTTTTTGATACACTATGTACATTTTGTCTATAGTGAAACCTTGATGTATTTTTTTATTAGAAAACCTGGATAAACTACAGATATAGAAAAACAATAGATCAGGAACTTATAAAAAGTCAAATTTGCCTGTAGGTATTTGCTAAATCAAAAAAAATGTATTTCAATGATATTTTTTCCACTATCAAGTCCAATCAACCTTGCTTATTTTTAAAATAGTCATTAATATACATTTGTTTAATAGCACTTTTCCTTTCCAAACTGAACTGTAATAAAACTATAACAACAATAAACTTTTAATATTTGTGATGATTGCTTGGTTTCTATCACTGATGTCATAAGCAAACAAAAATGCTTTCATGGACTTGAATGAACAAAGTGATTTGGTAAAACTTGATACTGATTGCCTTGGCTTTATTGTTTTTATCACTACTACCATCTTCCCCTCCTCCATGCAATTTTCACATTTTTTCTCACTACACATTTCTTTCATATACAGTATAACAGGTCCTCATTTAACATCATTAATAAGTTCTTCAAAACTTCAATATTAAGTGAAACAGTTTATAATGAAATTAAAATCAATATTACTGGAGACTACCAGATACAAATAAGAGTTAAGTTCTTACAGCATATTTCTTGTTACAAAACATCACCATACTTCTAAATAAAGATCCGAAAGACTTCTAATATTAAACATTGAAATAAATATGATTTATTTCAAAGTATGTGTCATATGTAAGAAAGATTCTTTTTTTTTAATTCTTTCTGCCCTGTGGGCTCTAAGAAGGCCTCTTTTTGCAAGCCCATTATGGGTTTGGCCAGGTGGTGAGGGACAGGGCCCAACATATCCAAATGGACCCCCCAAAAAATTCCTGGGGATTATTTGACTTGTCCAGATTCAATCCCAGGTCTCCCAGATCCCCCAGATGGCCTTCTAAAGAAAGATTAATGTAAACAAGTAAGATAATTATTTTCTCAATTTGAAGATCAGTGAGTGACTGCAGTTGTAGGGTGGAGGGTAGTATGGGGAAGGAGGCTAAATCCTCATTACTAGAGATTGTTAAATACAGTAGAACCCCTCTAGTCCGCCCTCAGCTAGTTCGTCACTCCGGTTAATCTGACCGTGGTCAGAGTCGAGAAACTTGTCCCGACTCGTCAGTGACTCACCATCCGTGGCATTCTTCTGTATTCGTTACAGTATATGTTTTACATTGTGTGTGTTTTCAACATGCCAGGAGTGAAATGTAAACACGTTACTCTTTCATTAAATGAAAAATTAGCAGTGCTACAGAGACTGGACAAAGAGAAGATTGTTTATTTTACTTTTTTCTGATAATCTGACCTTTTTTGCATTCTGACCATACCCCCAGTCCCAAAGGTGATGGATTAGAGGGGTTCTACTGTATGAGTAATAAAGAATAACTGTTTTCAAAGAGAAATTGTAAGGAGCACCACCTATCATCACACATTTCAAAAAGAAACTATTAGTGATTACAATGAACTGTAGAAGGGCGGTGTTTGAATTTAAAATGAATGCAAACAGGGCATATTTGTTTACTTACAATATTAAATGATGACTTGTGTTAATGTGAATATAGGTTCATGTTATCTGAGAAAAGTGAATGTATAATGAATGTAAATTATATTAATCAAATTTCAAGAAAAGAATCTGGTTAACACTATTCTTATTGGATTGTATGTGCATATGTATATTGTATTCAGCATTTATTTCCTACTCAAAGAATCACTTTATAAAGAAAATTCACAACAACAACTGTAAATGATTACAAATTTATTTGTATCTTTCCTCAATAATGTTATAATGACATGTTAAATGAAAACTTGCAGTATATCGCATGTCACAAGCTCCTAGTCCACAGTCATGTAAGCATCAATTTGTAGTGTTGCCTGATCCCAGCCAACACTACCTCAGTCTTCATTTTGCATGATGTCATCTTAACACTTTCATTGACCTTTGTCATGTCTGACCCTTTTTCTTTCTTCATATAGCCACACTTTACAAAATAATTCTAGACTATAGATTGGGTCATTTGTTGCCATATTGGAACAATAAAGTGAATAGCTTACAGCAGTGTTTTTCAACCTTTAACAAAATTTAAGCAACCCCAGGGGCTAATTTAAACAACTCAGCAGTTTAAGGCTTCGCAACCCCCAGGGGGTAGCGAAGCCTTAAACTGGGGTCGCGGGTAAAAGAAAAAGACAAGTGTTTGTAGGTGCTACACTACATTAAAAAAACTACAATTTCAGCGAGAATTACGGCTCACACCAGAAAATGATAGCTGAAAAAAGTGTTGAGCTGATTTGCAAAATGAAATAAAAGGTGTAAAAGTAGAAGCTGAAACTTCAGATCCTAAAAAACAAAAAAAAGAGGAAAAAAGGTCAACAGCTCCCCATGCCCAACGTTATAATTAAAGGAAGTCCCATGCTTTGTGTGTGTTAAGTTATTGTCGATTCTTCTGAAATTTTCATTTTAATCAACAATAATTTGTCTGAACAGAAAGAAAATTAAATACATAGTTTTTAAAAGCACTGATATAGTTTTAATATGGCCCTAGGGGGGTCGCCAGAATTTTTTAACTTTAAAGGGGTCGCATATTCAAGAAGGTTGAAAAACACTGGCTTACAGGATACTAATTTTGCATGCTATGTACCGTATTGTCTTAGTCTTGAGTCTAGAAAGATTGTAGACTTCATAATATTTTGGCACCAAGAAGCATTGAAACTTATCAGATGTGGAAAAACTGTACAGGGACGGGTTTCAATAACTGGATCAGGTTCTTGCCAATCTTCCCCTCTAGCTAATCTGACACGTAAGACACATGGAATATTGCACAGCTAATCACTGTTACTATCATTGATACTTACTAACATTTATGTGTGTGTTGTTAGTCTTTCTTAAAAATGATCAATCCAGGATTAAAAATTCTGACTAATAGTTTCAAGAAAACAATAAATTGAGGAATGATTGATGCAAGTTTAATTTTCATGGTTTAAATAGAATTTGTTCAGGAATCTAGAAAATGAACAATGTTTCTGGGAAAAAAATATATCCAGGAAAGATAAATTAAGGTTTCATTGTATAGTATATTGTAGAAAAGATGGATTGCATAACATCTATATTAAATATTATTATAATATTTAATAAAAAACACCTTATTTTGTCTGAAATTTAATTTTAGGTTCTTTAATTAAAAACTAAATTATAAACTATATAATTTTTTAATTACCAGCTCATGAGGAATCTACTAGGAACTTGTTTAGGCCACTATAGTATTTATACAATGTGTAAAGCATTACAAGACATGTAAGTTTTTCTTATAAATATAACATTACTTAATGATATTTAAAATAATGAATATTTCAGTTATTCAAGTTATTATAAATAATTTAATATTTTTAATTTAATTAAAAAAGAGTAGCTTAGATATTAAATATTAATACTTTTTGTCAAACTTGATTCTATCAATATATCTATTATTGAACTCCTGAAACTTTTAGTGTCTTATACATTGTTTTTTATGTTAAAACATGTATAAGACACTAAAAGTTCTAGGAATTCAGTAAAATGATTTTTGAAACTAAACCATTTCATCATCAAATAACATTAAAAATAAACATAATTGAGCAAAAGAATAGATTAATAGTTTGAATAAAATATTTTTCAGAAAAATAGCATTATTATGCTGTAACATATTATTTTGTTCACAAATATTTAAACTATTATTTGAATTGTTAATTTGTTCTTTCATTCGAATAATGCTATTTTTTAATGTGAACTGATGGTGATATGAGTTTAGTCTCAAAATCATTTTATAGTGTAAAAATTGGATTCCTAGAACTTTCAGTGTTATACATATATATATATATATTATGGTTTTTAATTAGATGTTAACTAGAACAAAAATAAGTATTGATTTTTCATATGCATCTTATTGACCTTGGTATTTTGGTTTCTGTTCAATTTTTCAATTTTAAAAAATGGCTCTTCTCTTAAGAAAGGTTGCTGATACTGGCTTAGTGGTTTAGGACAAACTCTATTGGTATGTCATCAGAGTATGTGTCTGCATCATCTCTATACATGAGATGTGATAATGTATATTCATTGTTTTGTTTCATGTATTTTTATATGTATTACAATAATCTGCTTGACAAATTTGTGCTATTCTCGAGTAGGCAGAATCAGAGTGAGCTCAGTCTCTCTCTTTGAAAAAATTTCTTGCTTTATATATATTTAGTTTGTTTCAATTAATGTATTATGCAGTTTAAGCTCGTATCTAGTGTTTTTGAGAAATAGGATGTGTGTCAGATATGTTTTGTAAATGTGTAGTAAGTGTAGTAATCAGGAATTTAGGACATTGTTAAATGCTTCTTGTAATCAATATATTTCATATGTAGATTTGTGATATTTGTGAGCTTACTTGTGTTATAGAGTAACTGAGTCTATGAGTAATTTTTTTATTTCATGTGATATCTACAGCATGGTTTTGATTGTTTTGTAAGAATGCTAGTATATGTTATTTTGTGAAGGTTTAAAGATGTACGAGACAGATCTTTCAAAGGATATCAGTTAAATAATGATTTATTACAACAGGAATTTACAGGTAACACAGTTATGCCTGTCAGAGACAAAATACAGATATATACAACAGGTCTCTACTCTCGTTCGGAATCCTACAAATTTTAGTTATCACGATATGTGTCTTAATCACTAACTTATAACTAACTTATATCTAACTTAACCTAAAACTATACTAATGAGAGGGAAGGAAAGGAAAGAAGGAAAGGGTCTACCGGTAGTTAGCACAGGAGGTCCTGATGGTGGTTTCCGATAATTGCGGGAGTTTTCTCGGCCGACCTTGGTCTATTAAACATTCCTAGTATGAATTTTGGCACTTGGTTTTCGTAGATTACTATTTCTCATCAATCAAATCACTAGTCCTTTTTTTCTTCTCTTTGGACTACACTAGACTTCGCACGTTGGGCTGGTTCTTTGTCTTAAGTCTGACTTAATGTCCCGACGAGACTTTCTTAACCCTTTCTCCTCGTCGTCCAGGCAAAAAGTGTCCTTTTTTCACCCCTTTGTTCACCTCGTTGACCCCACGGGCAGGGCCGCGCCCTGTTCACTTCGGTAAGCCACCAATCAGGACCCACGAATTTCCCACTCCTGATCGGGTGACCGGAAATGGTCATTAATAGAAAGAAGGAGGAAGGAAAAGAACAAAGAATCTTAAATCTAAATACTATAACTATATATACAAAATGGCGGACAGCCACAATTTGATACAAGAGGAAAGAATTATATTGTATTCAGAGACATGTAATTGATCTGTATTGTATGGGATGATTAGTGGCATAATTTTTTAATTTCAAGTACATGAAACTTACATGAAATGTTTAACCATGTGCAAAGATGTGTTTTTACACCAGATTCCTGAATGATACTGACATAAAGTATTTTTCAACTTTGGATATCATTCATGTGTGTTTATCTTAACATAAAGCATACTTGATATCTTTTGTTTCTTCTTTTTGATCCAATCTACTCTATCCAACAAAAAAAAAAAAAAAAACTTTTTTTTTGTTGTTGTGTTAGTGTATCATTATTCTGTACTTGTATATGATGGTTTTATTATATATTTGTGTATAGAATAATAATTTATTGTTTCTAAAATGAACATATTTTATACTGTTTAAGTCATTGTGTTTTAGTTGTTTTTGTTTTAGTATATTGATGTATTCTGGTGTTTGTATGTATTTTAATTTTGAATATTTTTCTGACTTATTTTATTGGGTTATGTGTTATATTGTTTGGCATATTTGGTTATATTACCTAATTTCTAGTATCATTTATTTGTGTTTCTATTCACCATTGCAAGATAAGCATATGATCTTTTTTTGGCTGTGTCTGCCTGTGATTGTATCTTCAGATTATGGTAGGCTATCACAAATGAAAGTTCCAGCATAAATAAGTGTATAAAACAAACCTGTATATGGCAACTGCCCACAGTTCCTTCAAAAAGTGGTCTTTTAGACCGGTGGTCATCCAATACAGGTGGTGCTGTAATACAGTATTTCCATATGTATTTTGCACACTTTTTAGTATTTCTACTAAGCAAAACTGGAGGCGAGCAAAAATAAGTGAATTTTTTCAATGATAGTGCTATATTGGTATTGTATTTTATTCTTATCAGATAACTCAATTCACAGGAGTCGTCGTGATTTTATAAGACAGATTTAATACCAATATTTTAAAGATTAATACAATAGTCACATTTTCTCGATTATAATGCACACTTTCTTTTTCTGACTTAACTAATTGAACTTGGTTGTTTTCGTTTGCTCCTCAGTTACGTGTATTACATCATCGATATACAAGTGCGTTGTATCTCTACATCACTTTGGTTTTGGTATTCATTAGTTTAATCTTATTTTAACTTTAAAAATACTGTATTTTTTTAATATTTAATATTTTCTTAAGTACAATAAGAAAAATTATTAATTAATAATAAAACAATGTTATTATTTTTGCTCATTATACGATTTCATTACATTCCGCGATTGTCATTGCAGAATCGAAAAAGGAAGGTTGCCTGTAAAACTGATTTTTGCATTAATGCATTTATTGTTTTTTGAATATTTTGCATGCGAAAATTACTTGAATATTGTTTTTCTAAAAATATCGTGGAAATAAGGTAGGTTGATACAGAAACTATTTATTGAACATGTACTGTATATGAGGTTCAAAATAAATAAATAAATTTTATCAAACGATGAGATCAGCCGATTAATTGTATTGTGTACAATATTTTACAATCTTTGTGATTACTCAGGATGTATTTTCTTCATAATTTGGAGTTTGGACTATGTACAAAAAGTCTAAAATAACTTTTGAGTCCATCTTTATCCCTTATACACTACCATAGAAGTAACAGTCTTTAAAAAATGCTTTGAAGAACTCTTCTTATACACAGGTAAAAATTGGTAAAAAATCTCACATTTTCACAAATCACAATCTAAAAAATCACAATCTCAAATTATGTACAATATTTTATACTCCCAAGGAAAATACTGTAGGTCTACGGTAAAATCAATTTCGTTTTTCCACAGTTAAACTTCCCTGCTAATCGCTGTTGTGATAACTTTAACACAATCTTCTAACGACAGCACTTTGCATTTCTTTCATTTTTCGGACAATTTCGAACAAACTGAAATGAATTTCCTTTGTTGCTAGACTAATTCATTAACACCTGCACCTAATTTTAAGGGTGGGAGAAGTGCCAGAGGTGGGTTTCAACGAGAGTTTAGACTAATTCATTATATTAGGAAGGGGAAAAACGTTGAACAATAGTTTAGACCATATATATTTGCGGAAGTGGTTGCTTATTACAGTTGTTGTATGTTGTTTCAGACCAAAAATCAATGCTTGTGATCGCGTTACACAGGTGGTCGTTTAATACAGGTAACTTATATGAAGACTCTATGGCTAAACTATTCGGTGCCAGAAATTTTTGCCCATTTTGACAGGTGCCCGTTGAAGTGTATATATGTGTTGCAGTCAAAACCAGTTTTTAGTTAGAACGCGTTTTAACAAGTTGAAACTAGTTTATACTGGATGTCTTTGTTAAAACCAGTTTTGTCTAGTTAAAACTAGTTTTAACTCAAATTCATTTTTGACTAGCAGTAAATTCTAGTTTTAACTAGACAAAACCAGTTTTGTCAAGTTAATGTACTGCTGTGCATGTTTTGATTTTAGATAAAACTAGTTTTAACTTTTAACATTAGTTAAAACTAATTTTAGCTACATAAATATGTTTGGGGGAAATAAATAAAGTTTTGTATAGTGATTTGGGGAAGATGCCTAACATTTTGCTTATGAAGGAAATTATAGCGCTTATTTGGATTTTGGAGCCCTCTAATGAAAATATCATATTCTGGAGTATGTTTTTCAAATAAAACTTTGGAATTTATTAAAAAGAAATTGTATATTGTGTTTACAATGACGACTTTTTCACTGTCTGGCATTTTAGGCATCTCAACCCAAGTATCCGGGTGAGATGCCAAATGCCATTAGGGTAAGATAACAAATATAATTGCATAAAATTAATTTTTGAATTTCTTAACCAAATTTAATTTATTGCATATACTTGCTATGTAGTACTATATACCAAATTTAATTTATTGTTATACTTGCTATGTAGTACAAAGTACTTCATAGCAAGTATAACAGCACAGTATAAGTATTGTTAAGTTTCAGCCCATTCTAACATGCTCTATAGCTAGCTGAAAGCTTTTTTCAGTCCAGAAGCCTTTTTGAGAAGTCCTTATATAATTTCTATGCATATCCTGCAATAAAACGAGAAAAACAAAAATTTATTAAAAATAAACATATTGGAATTCAATTAACAAAAAATAGGCATGTTACCCCAAGAAAAATGTGGCATCTTTTGGGATTTTGTTGGGGTAAGATGCCTAGTAGAATCACGTGCTGCAGCATGTCCGATCGGGATTGGCGATAGCTGACAACGGAAACTTTAGAACCTTAACTACATCATACATTAATTGTTTTTCACAATTTTTAATAAATTCTATTTTAACCTTTAGTTTAAAATTACTATAGAAACATTTTACAACAAAAACTTCGTTCTTATCTAGCTTTTATTCTTCTCGGATGTAGAAAATGAAGTTATGGTAGCCAACTACAGCTTTCCGCACTCGATATTGGCCCAACGATTCATCATACAAATACATGACAATATGTGAAGTCACCGTTTGAAAATATCAAAAATTAGGCAACTTCCCCCACTTACCATCTTACCCCGAATCACTCTATATGTTGCAGTCAAAACCAGTTTTTAGTTAGGATGCGTTTTAACTAGTTAAAACACATTCTAACTAAAAATGGGTTTTGACTGCAACATATATATATATACACTTCGGGCAAAACTTTCTGGCACCGAATAGTTTAGCCATAGAGTCTTCATATAAGTTACCTGTATTAAATGACCACTTATATATATATATATATATACACTTATTTATGCTGGAACTTTCATTGTGCATATATATATACACATATGATTGAATGTAGTGTGAGATTAATATACTGTAGTGGATGAGCCTATTGTATAATGCCAGGATGACTGATACCAGTCAGTTTTCAGGAGATCTGACAACTTGGACCATGTTTGTGAGAGTTTTTAACCTATTTTTATGGATAACAGTAAGATTGCTAGATGGAGGAGGAGATAGGAGACTAGCTTTTGAATTTTTCTTTTGAAAACAACGTTTTTATGTATGTGAAGATCTCTTGTTTATCATGTGATTGACATAGACTACATTTAAATTCAGTGAACATGCATCTCTTCACAGAGAGAGAGAGAGAGAGATCCCATAATAAGTAGATTTTCTAAAAATACTGGGTCATTGAATTGTATATACCAGGGGTGGCCAACAAGTCGATCGTGAAGCCAATTTTGGTCGATCGCTCGTGATGTCTTGAATTAATGTGTTACACTTGTAATCAAACGTAACGCGCAAACGCAAATGTAGTGATATTGGACCAGCGCGTCTTCCCTCAGATGCGGTTTTGTCGGTCCATGTGATATTCATTTGCGTACAGTTGTAAAAGGGAAATAAGAAATGTAGACAAAGGATCGTAAAACAAAAAAAAAAGGTGGGAAGAGGGACAGAGGGAGTAGTCGGGACACGGTAGAAAGAGAAAGAGGAAGGGTGAAGTGGTGGTCCCCAAAAGTGACAACGTTGAGTTTCAATTTTTATTCTGTTTACAATGTAAGTACCTTTTCTTCATGTTTTAAATTAAATTGTGACTTTTCTTACCTATCTAAACATAGTATGTATTTCACACCACCCCCTCGTCACTTAGACTAACCCTACGACAACAAGTCGATCGCGGCACATTTTTAAGATAAAAAGTAGATCTTCTGTAAATAAAAGTTGGCCACCCCTGGTATATACAATCCCTAGCAAAAAGTATTCAATACTTTTGCCATTAAATTTAGTTGCCTTAAAAATCTCTTCTGAAATTAAGATAAACAAAAATAAATATATACTAAAGCCAAAATTAAACACAATTACCTTTAGTAAACAACTACCATTGACATCAACTTTTTAGGTAGTGTTGGAAAAACTATATGAAATTAAAATAAACAAAAATAAATATATACTAAAGCCAAAATAAAATACAATTATCTTTAGTAAACAACTATCACTGACCAACATTTTTTTAATGCCACCTACAAAGGTGGCATTAAAAAAAATATATTTCATATTGTAGTTCCATGCCCTTAGAAAAAGTACACGATTCAATCAAGCAAAGGAAAAAAGTTTGTGATTTTTGATAGATATTAATATAAATCTTATTTGACAGAAAAGAGATGTGTGCAATTAAATGATCTTGGTGTAAGTGCATTTGCATTGGATCATTTATATAAGTTTGCACATTGTAATGAATAAAAATGATTCCTGAACATGAATTGTATGAAGAAGCAGTAACAAATGTTTGGAAGAAATAGAAACTGAGAGGAACAGCAAAATAAAAAAAAAAATCACCNTAAATGGAATTTTACAATAGTTGTAAGTGGAAGAGATGCATGTTAAAAATAATAAAAATATAGTAAAATAAAAATGGATTTGTTTCGAATTGTTAGCAAATTAATTAAGAGTATAATGTTTGTGTTGTTTTACTTTTTCATTTTTCTATGCTAAGCTCAGCACCTGCTGCAAGCCATAGATTGCTGACTTCTATTTATTTTAATCTATTGTTTTGGTTATTTAATGTTCTCTGTGCAGGAACCAAATTGTAAATTTAGTATGTGTATGTTTTAATTAAATTTGTATCTACTATGTCATTGGTGAGTGTTGTCTATTTTTATCAATGATTGTTGTTGTCTTATCATAAATGACTGTATAATACTTGGTGTTGTCAAATGTTTGTTTTGTTGTTTTATTTTTACTTATTGTTTATGTGCATGTGTTATATGTGCAGAATTATTTTTACAAAATTATCTTTTTTGGGGTCAATAATATAGTATTCTATAACTATAAAATAGGGATATTTTCGTTTAAATCTGTCATTATTATTATTATTATTATTATTATTATTATTATTTATAAGTGGTGGATTCTGTCCTGTATAGATGACACCAGTGCCTAATACAGTATTATGCCAGACCAAGGTTAAAGTGTAACATAAAAAAAGCAGTGATTTTTATTTGTGCTATTGATGTGTGCGTTTGTATTTGAGAATTTCCTACATGACATGTGTCTATTATGATGGATTTCTGTAATGTTATGTAATGCTGTTGTTAAGTGCTAATGTTTCAAGACTTTCATGTAGTGTGCCTCTACAGGAAAGGATTATAGGCATGAGAATTACCTTATCTGTTCTCTAGAATTCTTTTATTTTGTGGACAAATTCTTCATATTTGCTAATTATTTTTCTGTATATGTGTTTTGTATGTTATGCATGCTTGGAATAGCTGTCTGTCATTATTATTAATTGAATGTAAGTATATTATTATCTTTTTTCAGAAGTAATTATGATGATCCAACATTACTTCGAGGAACCATATTTTTTGTGAGCATGTCTTTATGGGGTAACAAGAGGGTTCAATCTTTAGAAAATACAATGTCAGCTGTTTTGCCATCCTTCTTAATGGTATTGTATATATATATATTGAAACAAAATTTTAAAATTTCATATTAAGAAATTTAATTAAATATATTAATTTTTCAAAATATTTAAAAAATTATGTATAAAAGATATATTAAGACTAAATTTTAATAAATTGAGTTTCTTCTTATTTTCCTTTAAGTTAAAAAGTATTTTTTATAATTTTAAAAATATTTCTACTTATGCTATGTCTTCTATTACAAATATATTCATATGTTCTAAAATACAATAGTAATTAAATATAGAAGAATTTTATAAGCAACATAAGCAATTTTAGTGATCTAAAATTAACATATTTCTGAATTTTACAATATTATTAAGTGAAAGAATGAAAATAAAATTCTTAAAATGAAATATTGTATGAATTATATTTATTATTACAGAATTATACTTAAGCATTATGCATTTACAGATTTAAATTAATTTGAGTAAAATGTACAAGATGATTGTAATTAAAATACTCTTATTAATTTAGAGATATTTAGCAGTCTAAATGCAACAGAATTTGGTATTTTGATATTTTTTAATTAAAAAAAAAATAGTAGTATTAAAACTCACTATTAAAACACTTTTGGCTCTGCAAACAATAAAAAAGCAGTTCCTTTTGCATAAACACATGTGTTGCAGCCAAATTCTGGGTAATGGCCACAATGGTTGAATCCCATTATCAACTATGATGACCATCACCTTGCTGGAATGTTCATTTCTTGGTTACTATTTTATGAAAACAACAATAATGTTCTAGTTGCACTTCAGAAATTCTGCAATTGTAAGAATTTGTTAGACCATGACTCCACAAGGAAAATCATTTTCCACAAGGACTCTTGGGGAAAATGATTATTTGATTTGATGAAACTGTATGTCTAGGAGATCAACCCAGTTGAAAGTGCAAACCTATTTCTTTACTAGTCATAGATGATGATATCATAGTTGTTGAAGAGTCAATGAATAATGTTGCAAGCTCCACAGCAGCTGGATGTATTCTATGACACAGTGTGGAAGGTTTTGAGAAAGTTGGTATATTATTATGCATATAAGATCAGCCATAACTAGCAGTTGCTTGTCATCAACAGGAGAATCTGACTGACCTTTCCTTAAACTTCCTTACCAGAATAGAAGTTGATGAATAAAGGCCATGGAAGACCCTGTGAAGTGGTGAGACATATTTTTACCTCTGGAATAGTGAACACCTGTTAGTGTTGCATTTGGACCAGAGAAAATACACTTGTTTTCTAGCATATTTCACTGCATTTGTCTAAGGTTAGTCTGATGTGGATTGACAACCACATTTATTCTTGGACCATTCTTCTTTGAAGAAGCTAGTCCCATTGGACCTATGGCATATGCTGTGTGTGAGGTCTTGACCAAAGACCAAAAATTGTTTTATATAAAAATGCTTTTAGTGAAAAAACATCATAAGAAAGGTCATTTTGTGTGAGAGAATAAAATGGAAATTCAACTTTTTCTTCTATGATTGCAAAAACAGAAAAAACAAATATTTAAGGAAACCAAATGTCACATGTATGCAGCTGGTAATACTTATAACTGGGGTAAAAATGCTAAACTCTTAAGTTATTGGCAGATGTCATGACAATTCAATAAACATCTCTGGGTAGTATCTGATCTCCAAAATTTGGTCCTGGATAGTCCTAGCAACAATCTAGGAACAATTGAAAAGAGGAAAGATGGAAATCCTGACTAACCAGAACATTTGATCAGAGATGAAAACCTTTTAAGAAGTCCAAACTCAAGGTTAGAAGGGCAGATCCCACCAAGACACAGCTTCTCCCACTAAGACAGTGAACTTTATCCAAGTGATGTGGGGATTCTTTTGTCAGTGGACTATCCTCATAGAACAGTGACCTGCCAACAAGGAGTAACGAACCCTAGGAACTTTATTGCTGTACTGAACATTGTACTGAATGTGGCCCATCACTGTCGTCCATGACTTAAAACTAATCTTTCATGATACAAAGTGTCATGTTAGATTAGTTTTAAGTCATGGACGACAGTGATGGGTCACATTCAGTACAATGTTCAGTACAGATTAGTTTTAAGGAAAAGGAGATTTCCTAGACCTATGAAAGATGCATTTTGTATTCAAATAAATAAGTGTTAATTGTAAATGGAGTTCTTGCCTCGATGTCTAATGCCACCACCCACATATGTAGTTCACACCTTCTCACCATCCTTATTGTCACCTCCCCCTTAATTAGGGAACATCGGTTGTGACACTAGACAGATATCGGTTCCATGATAAGACATCATGAGGATCCTCATATGTGACAAAGCAGCTATTCTGAGAAATGCTCTGCACTTATGTCATATCCCAACTGCAACAGCAACTGTGCCTTAAGGCAATATATGGAGGTGCTCCATCTTGCCTGAAAATGCAATCACTTTCATACAACATGTGTGCCTCCCAATATCAAATGCTGCATACAGCAGTTTCTGGAATAACAGCTGTACTGATAAGAGTGATTAGCCATGCATTTCTAGTGCCTAGTCATCTTATCCTCCAGATCTTAATCTGTGATTTTTAGTTTTTAGATGCTTAAAAAGTATGATTATGAGACACACTGCAAATTTGGTAGCCTTGAAAGACAGTATCTACTAAAATGTGGGAAGAATCTCAGAGAATCAATTATGGTCAGCCTTTGAACACACTATTCATTGTCTTCAGGTTTTATACCTTTTGAATGGGGACAACATTGAGCATAGTATCTTGTACAAATGAAATGTTTGTTGCTTGCAATGTCAAAAGTACCATAGTAATGAGTTTTGGTACTATTTTATTTTAGATATTACATTTCATTTTTTTTTCTCATTTCTCTTAATTTTGCAAAATTTTTTACAGTCTGTAGTATTGTCATTTTGTATTATTAATAAAATAACAGTACTAAAAACTAATTACAGTGGGTGATCGGTTAACGAACATAATCCGTTCCAAGGCTTTGTTCGCTATCCGAATTGTTCGTTAACCGATTATCGATTTACCATAGGTTTCTATGGGAATTTAATTAATTCGTTCTGGANAATACTGTAAGGTCTCGTTTTATGCGGTGGATACGTTCTACAGAAAAGCGCATATAAAAAATTCGCATAAAAAAAGACTTTACTTGCCTTGAAAAAGTAGGGATACGTTCCGTAATTTTCTAAAATCGCATAAAACCAAAACAACGAGTTAAAATTAACTTAAAACCGCATAAAAAAGTTTGCAGAAATTAAAAGAAATAGGCTGCTTAATTAATAAATTACTTCGAATGTCTGAAAGAAATTCATATTAAATTTAATTTCAAAACAATTACAGTTTATACCTTTCAATGCGAAACTCAGAATGATGTAATAGCGACTTGTCGATGGTAAGTATCATGTACAAGGGGAATCCCCGAATTGCAAAAGCTCACTCTAAAAACAAATCACTGACATTGGATGTGAAGAGTTAATTAAAACCTCTTTAGTTCCTCGCCCGAGTTAACTCGGGCAGGTTACATAGCGTTACATAAAACACGGTCCATTTTTGAAATTTTTTTTTGAATTTTTGGAATGTTTTTTAAGTCTCCAAATTTTTTAAAAATATTTAAAAATATACGGCCAGCTATTGTTCACTCTATTTTAAACCCTTGTCCTCCCATGACGTCTATGAGAATGCCCTGGGAAATCCAACTCCAGCTATGTTCAAGGTCATCCAGATGTGTAAACAATGACTTATCGGTGTTAAATTTCACAGAAGGGCGAGACAAAGGAAGTTAAACTTTGAAGCTTTTTCTTCAAAATTATCGCATTTCTTTCGTTTTTTTCAGTTTTAAGTATTTTTTATGTTTAATTACATTTATATCAAAAATTGCTAAGAACTAAAGCGATTAAGGTAGATCTAGCTGTCCTTTACATCCATAAACGTTATATGTCAGCGGAACAAGTGGAGTGAGCTTTGAGCATTCCACGATTTTTGGAGACTGTCTATACGCGGGCTTCCTAAACAAGCCTACATGTATGTTTGTCCAAGAAATTTTTGTATGAAATACAAACTGCACAACTTCAAAATCGCATAAAAATAATCCGCATAAAAAGAGACCTTACAGTATTATGTTTTAATAATAAAAATAGCCAAGATAAGAAAATGTTTTTCTTTTTAATTTTTCTAAAAAAACTAAATTAACTTTTTGTGACTCTTTATTTTAGATAAAATATATTCATGCATATAACAAATTTATATATGATATAATATCAGTTAAATATTTAATTTAAAGTAACTTTTTAAAAAATATAAATTAATAGTTTTTTTTAAATTGAAAGCTAACATTTATGTATATAAATAGCTAATATTTAATTAATTTAATTTCCAGGAATGAAAAAAGAACGATAATCAGATCCAAAGTTTTAAGTGTTCTTTCTCATGTATTTATTACAAATAGATATTTATATGAAGTAAGTAAAAAAAAAAAACTTTTTTAATAAAATTTAGGTTACATGAAATGAACATAGCAATTCAATGGACAATCATTGAAAATTATATATTTTTAACAAGTATTATTATAAAGTAGTAAAGATATGTTTACAATTTTATTTGCTAAATTTATTATTAATTGAGCTGTTGATTTTGAAAGTGGGGCAAGTCCCACTTTCAAAATCAACAAAATCAAATGCCTGCAGGGTTAAACCTGATATATCTCGTTACAGTATCAGTACATTTTTTTATACTAGATGTCTCTATGCATCATAATTTTTATATTAAAACGAACTTTCCAAATATAATTTTTTTTCGTTTTTATATTTTTCAATGTATATATTTTGTTTGTGCAAAATAAAAAAAATAATTTTTAACAATACAGTAGCCACAGTTATTATGAAAAAAGAAATTTTTTTGTTATATCTTAACATTAACAAAAATTCAACATGGCAGCCACGCGCAACGGAGAAAAATTTCAACATGGGATAGGTTAAGGTTAGCAACTCTGATCACATGCGGGGGTCATCACAATCTA